ATTTTCTGGTTCTGTTTCCTCCCGCGCCGCGGGGCACGCAGGTGCCTCAGTCAGCACCTCTGATGGGCCGGGAAGAGCGTGGCCACCACACAATGAAAACCCCCCGATTGAAATCTCCTCTCTCCCCGTCAACGGCGGTGTCACCTGGAGGACCCTCGTCACTCTTCCTCGGCCGGTATCAGAGGACACGCCGCCGAGACATCCCCACCTGTGCAGCGAGCCCTTCCTGCGGAGTGTCAGGAGTCCGCGCGACCCCGCAGGCGCCCCTGTCGCTGCTCGTCGGGTTTGAAACGGGTATTAATGTTTTAGCTCATCACTTACAGGCTCTTCCGAGGCTCAGCCGGGCCTAAGGAGCTGACGCTGGGCACTGAACGGTTCCGTTTGTACCTGGCGTTTCCTTCGACGGTGGTGTGATAACAGCCCCGCAGGAGATGGGCGCTGGTCAAACCCGTATCCGCCGCGAGGGGAGCAAGGCCCGGGCTGCCGGCTCCTCAGACCAGCCGAGCCCCCTGCCCGGGACTCCCTCCAGCACCGCCTGGGACCACCCCCGACGCGCTCTGTTCTACCTACAGGCCCCCCCTAAAATGGACACACGCACTTTAAACAGTTATAAAGGCGGTGTTTATTAAAATACATTTCATTTTCAGAATTGAGCTATCAGCTGTTAGAGTGCGTATACATTTTTGGGGACACCCTGTATTTAATCGCTCACCTCATTGTATTGGCTTGAACTCGGTCCTATTATGTTTGGGAAGGGACACAATTTTGACCCATGATTTCTTGAAACCTGTGTTCCCCTAATAATGAGCAGTATTATTATAAGATTCTAATATATTCCCAATGCAACCTCATGGTGTGTTTTGTTTTCCAGTACCATTTTCAGTTTTATTTTTGGGTCTTTCTCACCCGAGGATATTTTTTTCCATTGATTTTTAGAGACAGTGGGAGGGAGGGAGGGAGAAACATCCATGTGAGAGCGACACATTGGTTGCTTCCCGCACGCACCCCAACCAGGGCTGGGGATCGAACCTGCAACCCAGGTATGCGCCCTTGACCAGGAATCGAACCCACGACCCTTCGGGTTAGAGCCAAAGCTCTAACCACTGAGCCACCCCGGCCAGGACTCTTATCTGGTTGACTACGTTTTGCCGATACGCCGCTGTTGTGAGGTGAGACGTTTTCCACGTGTGCCGTAACTCACAGCACCCTTTTCTTTCCAGAACATCTGGAAAAGCAAGATGGGGCACATAGAAATAATTTTTTTTTCTTTGAGGAACTAAAGAAGTTTCTAGACACTTTTCCTCTGGGGTCTCAGCTGGTAGCAGTTGAAGCTTCAGCTGACCCCCCTCCCCCCGTGGCCCGACTTTGTTTCTACCTGGGGACGTAGGTTGGGAAGCGAGCATCTCTGTGCCAACGTCTCTACCTGCCCGCCTGTCCCCCGGGCCCCGGGCACCCTCCGGGAGGGCGGAGGCCTGTATCTGGCCTCACGCTGACCTTGGGAAGCAAAGCTCGGCTTCCAGGTGACGGTCCCGCAGACCAATGAGCTAATAGCGCGTTAAATGTAATTGGCCGTGTCCTTTGTGTGAAGAACAGGAAAAGAGCGGGCCCTCCCTCCTCAGCAGGTACACTTAGGGCGAAGGGCAGCAGGTATGTTCCCCAGATGCACAATGTCATTTACTGCGGCTTTTCCTGGGAGATTAAAGGGCGATGAATTCTTACAACTTTCATCTTTAACTTTCATGGACACCACTTGATCTTTGATCATTTAATTCCTTGCTCCAGAAACAAATAATGTGAGGAATTTAAGAAACATATAAAGGGACATGAAATTATAGGTGGAAAATCATAACGAAAACACACTCGATTCTAACAGGTACCTTTTTATTGTGACAGTTTAGCATCACGGTTAATTGCATTCTTGCATCGAGCTGGGCCATATGCCACCGAGAGTGGGTGTCAAGACCTAAGATCAGCTTGCAGATTTGTATCTGATTTTAAAACAGGCCGCAAAACCACACCAAAGAGCAGCTTTTTCTCATATTCCATCAGGATGAGTCTGAATTTTAAGATTAATATATAATTAAAAAATTTTTATTTAGATAAAGCTATTGCATACATAAATAAATATCAACCTAAGCAAAGAAACAAGTATTAAAAAAATATAAGCAGCTATCAAGTCTCAGATTTAGGGCTTGTCTTAGTAAATAAAGTATCGATCTCTCCCATTTGGGACTTCGGCTCAATTGCACTCCGCAGCCCTCAGTAAAATGGATTCATTGGTCTTAGTTTATTCTCTGCAAATAGCAACCCACACAACAAATATAAACCGCTCATTCAACCAATTTGGCCTTTTCTTTATGAGAACAGCTTCACAGATGTCTACCACGGAGACCCAAAGAAACCATCTCATAAAACCACAACGTGAAGCCATCCGCCTCAAAACATGTTTTCTCTACTCATGATTTTAATAAGCGTCGCCCCACCCCTTTCCCACCTTCAGAAGTTTTTCTGACAGAATTGGGTTGCTTCCCTTTGACTCAGAAACTTTTCCGTCACATCCTGGGTGTTGTTTGTTTGGTTTTTCCAGGCTTTTTACTTTTGTTTTTTGTCACTGACGTCATTAAAAAGGCAGGGGTGAGGTAGGAGGGATGTGAAAGCAAGTGGCCACTCTGCCTCATTACTGCTCATTAGCGAAAACAGCTCGACCTCCCTGCGACCCAGAGGGAAACCCAGGAACCGCTGTGGACAGACCTGAGAAACACAGTGGCTTCTGTCCATCGCGCAAATGTGGTTTCCATTAGCAACATAGTGAACTACAACTACAGGGTGTCCCCAAAAATGTATACACACTCTGAATAATTATTCATTCCAATGGGTTAAATCTGAAAAGAAAGCAACATCAATTGAGCTATCGGCTGTTAGAGTGTTTATATATATTTTTTGAGATACCCTGTATTTATATGAGTTGAATAAGTTTGATCTGGAAAAAAATTCTGGAAAGAAAAAAATCTGTAAGTCCTGAGATAGCAAAAATCTTGGAAGAGACAAGACTATTTTGACTGGGAAATAAGAAAAGGCTGAAAAGTCCTGTTTAGCAAAACCTTAGCTATTTGCTCCGAGGTAAGATGATGACTGCTCATCAAGGGAAACCAGGCACACCTGTGCTCGGTCACCATGGAAACCAGGCACACCTGTGCTCGGTCACCATGGAAACCAGGCACACCTGTGCGCGATCGCCCTGGAAACCAGGCGCACCTGTGCCTGATCCCGCAGGTTGTGAACAGGAGCCCCAGCTCTCTTCAATTCCCGGGTCAGCATGAGCACTGCTTATATTTGAGAATTTGCAACAATTGCCAGTGAGAGTCAGCAAAGGCCTGCTGACACTTCCACAAGTGTTGCAGTTGGAGTGGAAGCTTTGGGCCTGGGCTGATCCTGAGAAGAAACAATGTTTCTTTTTGGTGCATTTGCCAAGAAAGCCCAAGTTAGTCAAATGCTGATGAGGTACCATTTGAAATGCTACACTCATCTGAAATAGAGAAGTTTACATAAAGACATAGGGACTATGTTTTCAACAACAATTTTACTGCCCTACTGGAAGATGGAGCTAATTATTCCTCAATCCTGTGTCCATTTTCTCTCTGCTGCAGGCTCCTGGGGCTACAAAATCCACAGTAGGTATAACCAGCTTCAGACAGATCCAAACAGCACACACTTCCTCAGTTTTCCCAAATATACGAGACACCGACAAAAAAAAAACCTGACTTTTAATCAGAGTTGGGGTGGGGGAGAGAGGAAAATGCAAATGGTAAATTTTCCTAAATTTCAGAACTGTTTCCACCGGAAGAGGAGTGAGTTGACTGGTGTAAATAGTGTGCTTTCTAAGCAATTGGGAAACATAAGGCAAATAGATTTTTCCTCTTTTAGGGCAGAATTTATAACATCCTACCCAGTAAATTCTCACTGACAACAGCAAGAATTTCTTTTCTCAAGCAAGTGTAGAATACACCCAGCCGTTTCAAATAATTAAGGTCAGATTCCACTGAATGTAAATTTAGCAGCAACAATGAGCTGTTCGAAAGGGAGGTGATTGCTACTCTCAGTAGTAAGGGTGGTCAAAAGGCAATTTTGCAAAAGGTCCCCCTGCCCCTCCCATCTCCACAACTACAAAAACACATGTAGGAGAATGAGAGCTTAGTTAGGAGTCAAATCTACACCCGAAATGTGAGCAGAAATTCTTCTAAAAACCAAAACACAACTGGAGAGTTTGCAGCCAAACAAAACCTGGCCATTGGAGTCATCTTTCCAAAGTACACGATGTAATAATAAATCGACTTTCTAAGCCATTNATCTTTCCAAAGTACACGATGTAATAATAAATCGACTTTCTAAGTCATTTGAATTCAGAGTATATGCATACGAAAGGCCAAGGTAATAATGTTCACTATGAAAGTTTTATTATTTTTTTACACATTCATTAAATTTTGGAGATTAAAAAGTTTTTAAATTTATGATTTCTAGAAATTTAAGTGTCATTCTCGACACAGGGTGAGTTTGTATAGAACCATATATAACCCAGAGGACATAATCTGGAGTTTGTGGCAATAAATTTTATGAATTTTATGACCCATCGAGTATTTAGGAATCAAATCAGGTTCTTATCAGATAGAACACAACACCTGTGTATGTACCTAAAATATCCAGCACCCATGATTAAATCCTTGTTTCATTTATGAAATGGCTTCCCCTTTCTCCTATTACCGAATTAAATACTTTCTCGCCACACCAATTTTTATCAAAACCCACAAAGGTCATTTGTTTTAGGCCCTCAGCTCCACCTATCAAAAGAATCGGTAATTTTTTTTATGATGCAACAGATTCTCAAAAAAATTTCACCCGCAAGACAACGTGATATTAAACAAGAGACATACAATTTCTTGTGACAAACAGGAAGACATTGACCTTGGCGTGGCCTGGCTGCCTCCGACCGGCGGCCGTCCCTCCTAGAGCTCAGTGTGGTTGGCAGGCGCTGCACACAGATCTGGAGGGAAAGAGAGCGCGTCACCATCACGTTCAAAACCCGCCGTACGTCACTGACTTTCTGCAAGAAGCGCTTTCCTGCGGAAGCACATTTTTAAGACTTTGATATTGCAGGAAATTTCAAATATACACAGAAGTAAAAAGAAGGTTGTGATCCCCTCCCCTGCACCCCAAACCTGGCCTCAACACTGGCCCGTGCTTGGCCGTTCTTGCCCCAGCCCCCAGTGCTCTTCCTGGAGTGTTTTGAAACCAAGCCCAGGGGCTGTACCGGTTGCCCACGGCCGTGGAGTATCCAAGGGACCCTTTATGGAGGGGCCCCGGGCACCTGGCGCTCAGTCCAAGGAGCGGGGGCTCCGGCACACACGCCTTGCCCGGCTGAAGCAGTTACCGCCACCTCCCTCTGTAGAAAGGCCACGGGTTATTCTGGCCACACGATTTATTTACAATGGGGAATCAGCTAACCTTGAGAGCAATTATTTTTAATATTAGAATGTGAAACCCCTGTCCGCGACGGGAAGTCTATACGAAAAGGCAAGAGGGCTTTCGGTTTAAAGGCGGGCTGAACCTTTATAGAATCTCACTTTATTCCATCGGTTGCATTCAAAACAATCACGTGACGAGTTCACCACCCTGATGTGTTTACACGTTAAGGTCTGATTTCAGCGGCAAAGCCATGTGCATACAGAATACACGTGTGTACTGGAACCTATTCCCTCACACGCTCTGACGGTCACCCCCGTGAACCTCAGCGTCCCCTCAGTCACAGTCCGGACCGATACGTTCTCTCCCCTGAGCGAATATACCAATTTTTCCATCCCTACCTTATGTCTTCCTAAGACTTCAGAACAGCATTTTGACTTCAAGACATTAAAATGAAGATCTGGAGGAGCTCGGGTGATGTGCCCCAAAATATTCCAGGAGGAAAATCTAATGAACTCACTTTTAATTTTTGCCTCAAAAAAAAAAAAAAAAATTCCACAGGAATAGCCCCTCCCCCTCCCGGCCTCACCCCACGGACAGGTGTATCTGATACTTTTATTCTGCGCAGTAAATAAACTGTGGGGGCCACAGGCCCATCCACACACCCCCGGCCCTTCCCTGAGATTTCATCACTCATGGAAACGGCGACATACAACGTTTGCGAAAATCTCACCGATGCGTTATTTTAAAATCCAAACATAGTATCTTACATTTGTCGCATGTTTTCTCTGTTGCCCCCCATTTGTTAGTTTGTGTGTTGGGGGTGAATCTTGAGATCTTAATATTTTAAAGAGTCAGATATGAGTTAATTAGCTGGAGGAGGGGGCATCCGCTCGCTCCGATACACATACTAAACATCCTACAACCTTCCACATCAGCGGCGCCTCAGCAAGGCTGCCATTTGTCAAAGTCGGTGAACAAGCCCTCGTCTGCTCCCACATAACTATTAAAAATAAAGGAGTGCCTACATTAAATAGGAAAAAAGGAAAATTCACATATGCATTTATAGACATGTCCATGTATGTAAAATATACATACAGTGTCCCCCCCCAAATGTATACACACACTTTGAATAATTATAGAGGTGGTGTTTATTAAAATACATTTCATTTTCAAAGCTTAGCTATCCGCTGTTACAGTGTGTATACATTTTTTGGGGACATCACGTATAAAGTATAGAAGGGGCAAACTTTCCGATCAAACCTCTAGTTTTAGGAATACCTAGTGGTGAAAACATTACTTATCTCCCTAAAAGCAACATGTGGACAAGTGAACAGCTCCGAGTCTCGCATCTCACACGGAGTGGACCCGGGTGAAGAGGTATTAACGCAGTTTCGTAACCTCCAGCACACACACACACTCACACACACTCACTCACACACACTCACACTCGCGGCCATGTCTTGAGAACATCATGAAGTGGTGGAGCTCAACCACAGCAAGGTTGTTGGGCAGCAGAGCCAGGTCGAGTGTGGCCTTTACACAGACCTTGCTCCCGGGCCGCCGTGGGAAGCTCCTGTCCGTGGAGTTGTGACTGTGCGGGAAAGGCCCCAGCATTTTCTACAGGACGCGAGGCTCACATTTCATGTGGTTACCCGAAACCACCCCGTTATGCGAAAGCTTAAAAATTATGGCGATAATTTTTCAGGTTGAAAACACTCAGCCTTGTTATGTGGTGTTAACTTACTTCAAAGGTGAGGGCCTTGGGAGGAAAGGAGTCTTTTTAAAAATTAATATACAGGGTGTCCCCCAAATATGTACACGCACACTTTGCATAATCATAAAGGCAGTGTTTATTAACATACATTTCATTTTCAAAATGTAATAGAATCAGCTGTTATGTGTGTATACATTTTTGGGGACCCCCTGTATATTTTCAGTTTGAAATTTATGAGCGGTTTAGAACAGCCAGAAACACGTTTCATAGGAAAACAAAACGTGAAAAAGCCCACCCGCTCCACTACGCAGCGGCCATGTGACCGTCCCCTCCCTGGGGGTGGTCACCTTGTCTTCTCCGAGGCACTGATATTTCTGTGTATAGTGTGAGTACTTACCCAGGTTTTAAAAAAATTAAATGCTATTAAGAACTAATGATCTAATCATGTTTTTATTAGTAACACTGCGCAGATCTCGGGGTTAGGCTTTGGGCCTACGTCTTCCTGAGGTTAATGTGAATTCCTATTTCCAATATAAATATGCAGAAGGAATGAAGAGATTGTTAATATTCTTGAGACGCAGTCAGATTGCTGTACTCGGGGACAAAGTCTTTCCCCGAAATCTTGTTATTGGGGGCAGTTAGTGCGGGAAAGGGTTGCAGAAACTTTGTGGAGTCCTTCGTGAGCGCTGAGCGACGGCCTTGTGGCCAGCTTCCCGCACCTGCCGTGGGGGACACGGGCCAGGGCACCGGCACCGGGACTGGCACCGGCAGGAGAAGGCCCTGGACGCTCCCCACGCCTGCGCAGGTGTCCGCGGGCGCTGCCCACCCGAAGCCCCAAGAAAACCTCGCAAGTACCTTCTTGGGAAACCGCCAGCTATGATCTCATCTGTGTGAATTTCACCACTTAGCCAAAATCAGGGAAAGAAAGCTCCGGACTCCTGGACACTCCTGGCTGGATCAGTTCGGACTCGNCCAGCTATGATCTCATCTGTGTGAATTTCACCACTTAGCCAAAATCAGGGATGAAAAAGCTCCGGACTCCTGGACACTCCTGGCTGGATCAGTTCGGACTCGCCACCCAACTGGGTCTTAAACAGAAACCACCCCACGTTCTACTCGGAATCAGAAAACTCCACGCGGTTCATGGGGCAGGGAACCAGCCTTCTTGTTTCATAACGTTGGATGACATAAATATTCCTCCACAGGGGTGCGGTATTTTAAGAACCTTGGCAATACATCTGATACTGTGGATGGAGGTGGCTATACTTTATTATAAACAATTGCTAAATGCTAAATGTTTCAAGTTTTCACAATTGCATAAAAAGTACTCCCCTGGCTCTAAATCATTGTGTGTGTATCTATTTGTATATATGTATCTCCCAAAGAATGTGTATACACTTTTACAGCTGATAGCTCGATTTTGAAAATGAAATGTATGCTAATAAACCCTGCCTTTATAATTATTCAAAGTATGTGTATACATTTTGGGAGGACACCCTGTATCTATGTATACATAGATATATATATTGATGTATATACAAAATTAATTTTTAAAAAGGCATCTGAAAAGACCGCACAACATGTCCTACGCTCTTGTAAATGTATTAAAAATTATTGAAATGTTAGGAGGTGCATGTTTAGCTAAACTGATGGAGTCAATGGTAACATCATGTTTCAACTTTGTATATAGTAAGTACAGTTTTGGCAATTTTTTCTAGCTTCTGAGCGTGTGTGTGTGTGTGTGTGTGTGTGTAAGAACATAAGCCAAGTATTATTTTACACCCTCTGCAGGAAAAAAATTAATTTTTAAGAAGGAGATATTCTGGGAAATCAACTTGGGGGGGAAAAAAAATCCAGCACCCAGGCCAACAAACAAACAAAACCCTTTAACATGTCTTACTAAACAAAAACCCCTCCTCCTGTTGGGGCGGGCACTAGGCAAGTCAGAGAGACTCCTTTCCTGCCCCAGGAAGATTTTAAATCTCTCCAAGTTTAAAGTGAGAAAGGGTTTGGGGTTCGCCGGAGAGGATGGGCTCCCCGCTTAACTATCGGAAACCACATCTCTCTGAACTCACTTAAAATGCGGAGGGCAGGGCGCGCGCGGCCAGCCAGGCCAGGCCAGGCCCGGCCACGCAGGCAGCCCCCGTGGCTGTGCGCATTTGTTTTCTCTCCCAGGGTGTCGCTTCTGATTCAGCGCAGAAGCAGGGGTGGCCCGGAGACAGCCAGGCTCGGTTTGGAAAACAGAGGTGCTGCGGGGCGCGGCGCGGGAGAGGCGGGGCGCGCGCCGCA